GTCAGGAGCTCTTGGGAGAGGCGTCCTGTGACTACGGATGACCTATATCTGTGTTACGTGGGGGTATCCTTGGTAGGAGTGGCCCCGTAACACGCTTGTTTCTTCTGCCCTGAGTCCTCTCACTGTGTGAGGGTCTTGCTCGGGCGTAGCTCCAATCACCCTTCGCTGGCCTGTTGGGAGTACATTTTCCTACGGCCTCCGCGTTGTGTCCCACTAGCGAAGTCCTAAGGGACGTAGCACCATGACGTAGAATTAATAGTTACTTAATGTAACTTAAGTTCTACGAATAGGTGCGTAGTCCCTTAGCTACGAGCCCATCAGGCCAGCCCGGCTTGGCAGAGTTCAAGAGGGGGTACGGCCTTGTGCAGGGGCATTTATAGAGGAAGGTGGCTGGTGATTGGAGCAAATTATTTTGATCTCTCTGGCGCGTGACCTGGGGGTCACGAGTGATATCCCACTAGCGAAGTCCTAAGGGACTACGCACCTATTCGTAGAACTTAAGTTACATTAAGTAACTATTAATTCTGTTATCAAGAAAAAATGATCGGAAGAATTGCATTCAAGTCAATGGAGTGTTCTACTGCTGCTGTGAGGAGCTGTATAATAAAATTAAATATTAGAATATATTCTAATGTTTAAATTAATACATTCGGACGCAAAACTAGCGGTATTCTTTTACTTATATATTGTGTTAGCAGTGCATTGCTTTTGTACCATTTCATCAGTGATTGTTGTACAGCTTACAAGTTGCGCTAATGCTAATGTTAGCATACGTATCAGGTCGCAAATAAAACTAGGTGGCTCCGTGGGATGAGAGCGTAGGGGAAATGAGAAGCCTGTGAGCGAGTTGGGGGGCAGTGCTAAACATTCAAAAATTGGCGGCACAGTGGCTGAGTGGATAGCACTCTCGCCTCTCAGCAAGAAGGTCCTGGGTTCGAATCCCGGTCGGACCAGGGCCTTTCTGAGTGGAGTTTGCATGTTCTCCCCGTGTCTGCGTAGGTTTCCTCCGGGTACTCCGGTTTCCCCTACCACTAAAAATATGTCCAATAGTTCTGGCATGTGCCTCCTGTACTGGCGACCCCGCTCCCATCTCTGTGTGGAGTGAGAGACAAATGCCCAAAACCGCTTTGAGACTCAGATCTGCAGTGAAAAGGCGGTATATAAATAAAAACTTACTTACTTACTAACATTGCAGAAACGGGTATAGCGCCTTTAAAATTCCCAATTTAAGTGAAAACTTGAGCTCATTGACTTGTATATGAATTCAGGCCATAAAAAGTTAGCAGAAAGTGGCTATACCTCCTCTGGCTGTAACTACACAGCAACACAGCCCGAACGAAGCAAAAGTGAGAAGGAGAAGAGGGAACTAAAGCGCAAAAATTAGCGTTAGCTTACATCGTATCCTCAGGAGAGACCTGCAGGAGTGGGACAGCCTCGGGCTACATTTGGACACAAAACTAGCGGTAATCTTTCAGTTATCTATTTCGTTAGCAGTGTGTTGCTTTTGTACCATTTCATCAGTGATTGTTCTACATCTTACAAGAAGTTGCGCCAATGCTATTTTTTTAATACGTATCAGATCGCAACTAAAAATAGCTGGCTTCGTGGGAGGAGAGCGTAGCGGAAAGTAGGAGGGTTTCTCCAAATGAGAAGCCTGTGAGCGAGTGGGGGGGCGGTGCTAAACATTTAAACTGAAAAGCATCTTGCAGAAACAGCTAATGCTCCTTTAAGAGCCATATAAACACTTTCAAACATATTGTTACAAGAACAAATGTACAATAAAAAATAGCAACATAAGGGCATGGACAGCGTAGTATAAATCAGTAAATTGAAAGTAAATATGCATTAAATATACACATGGGCCGCACCAGTACCATTTTAAAAGAACCTTTAAAAAAAATAGATGTCCTTATTTGATTTTGGACACCAACTGTGTGTAGCCTGTCATGTTCCCATAGTTTTTCACGTTAGCTTGAGTCCTGACCCCAACCAGGAAGTACAATCACCCGTTCTCAGGTCTCTGCACTGGCTTCCTGTGGCTCTCCACGGCCTCACACCAAAGTACCTCTGTGACATGTTAGTACCATATGAACCAACTCAGACTCTGAGGAGCACAGGGACGGGCCTCCTGCTAGTGTACAGAATAAGAACTGAACATGGGGAGGCTGCATTTTAGTTTTTTCAGATAAATCTAGAACTTCCTGGTTCTGGTCTTCCTGAAAATGTGAGACAGGCTTTTTCTCAGACAATGCTCAAATCCAGGTTAAAATAGTTCTGTTTATCTGTGCCTACAACTGAGGGATTTTATCTTCAGTTTTTGTGATTATTTATGAATTTAATACAATATATTATGTTGTTTCTATCTTGTTTTGTGAAGCACTTTGAGATGCCTTGTGCATGAACTGTTCTATACAAATAAACCTGTCTTGTCTTGCCATTATGAATGAATCCATTATGAATCCAGAATGATGTGCCTCTTTGGTCAATGCTGTTGCATTTATCACAAACAGTTGGTTTATTTTCCCACATTATATGTGGACAATTAACATTTTGAAAATTATGATTCATCTTACTGAAGCCGTGATTTAATGTTTTATTTATTTCATGGCCATATAGTTGTAATACTATCAATATTTATGTGTTGTTTTGTAGTTTCTAGAGGTTTTTTTTTTTCTAAAACAAAACATGCTCAATACTTATTTAATAATATGCAGAATAAATGACATAGGAATATTATAGGACAGTTACACATGCAACTTTTGGGTCTAAATTACTGCTATCTTCTGCCGCTGTGTTTACACTGAACAGGGTTCGACTCCTGGTCGGAACAGGGCCTTTCTGAGTGGAGTTTGCATGTTCTCCCCGTGTCTGCGTAGGTTTCCTCCGGGTGCTCTGGTTTCCCCTACCACTAAAAACATGCACAATAGCTATGAATGTAAATGAGAGAGTGAATGGATGGTGTTGATTGGGAGCTGATGGTCCAGTGTGTTCGGCCACTCGCTTCCGTCATCACCGTGTGTGGAATGATTAGAACAGTATCTGACCTCTAAACATTGTAAAGCGCTTTGGGTGACCTTGGTCTGTAAAATGCGCTATATAAATAAACATTACTTACTTACTTATTTATTGAGTGATATATTTTTCGCACATGTGTAAATGCAGATCAGTATCGTGGCAGGTACAGACAATAAAGACAAACCCCCTTGCATGAGGTAATGATACAATTCTCATATATTCTAAATTTTGATGAGAATGTGCTTGTTTTGTAAAGTTTCTAGTTCAACTTCAACGTCAATATTTTTTAAATATTCTGAAAATGTGAACCACATGATCAAAAGTTAGACTCCTTCATATAATTGAAATGTCATTTTCCTATATTCCAGCCTTGCATCCTTTTTTGTTATGCCATGTTAGACCTCATCTATAACCTTTACATAGCTTCATAGGGCATCCATCAAAAATACACACCCAATTTCAATATTGTGAATCTACAAATGAAAGGAAAGGGAAAACATTCTAAGCACAGTTGGCAATTTCCCATCACTGATCGCCCATAGGACCTTCTTATTCTTCTGCACAAAGGAGGACAAAGCTACACTCAGGAAATTGCAGCTGGGCAATTTATAACGGCTAAGCAGCGGTAGAGGGCGCACATATTTGTCATCACATAGGCGACTCACATAGACACACATACATACACACACACACACACACCAGTTGTTTGGAAGGCTGGTGCTTTGAACAGTTGAATGAGGGGTCTTTTCACCAAACTGAATAGCCTCTCTGATTTCCCCGTCCTGTGTGTGTGTGTGTGAGTGTGTGTGCGAAGGTGCATGTGTGTATTTGTATATGATGCGAGCTTGAGCCTTTTCATCTTTTGTTTAGTCCAGCTGAGGGTGAGAGCTGTTTTGCATGCACGGCGATCACACATAAAAATGAGATTCTCGGGCTAATTTTGTTACCAGGCAATGGCTTTTCAGACAAACAAGTCCCTCTCTGTGCTATGTCAAACCAATTTAATGGCCCCATAAATGAGTATTCACTTATTTCAAGAATATTTTGTAATCTGTGAACTAGATAGAATTACTATGCTCTACACAGGGATGGAATGTGTTAACCCCCTCACCACTCCCAAGATAAACTTTAGTTATTTAGGGTGAGTTCACACTTGGTCTTCTTCACTTTTACTGGACCAAGTCTAATTCCCTTTAATACAAACTGAGTGAAAATGAACACATGTTCACTTGAACCAGAACAAGTTCAACAAAGTCCTCCTCTATGATCATTTCTCATACGAACACAACAGGTTATTGTGCTCCGTCTTCTTATGTTCTGCCATCTCACTATTGATGGAAGTTCATAGTATCTATTCATGCCAAAAGTATGAAGCCCAGGCAGTTAAGGGAGCATGTCCATTGCATGTGAAAAAGAGCATTACAGGAGAAATTATAATGTAAATTAAGAGTAAAACAGAGCCACATAAACATATATTGTCAAATATATTGTCATGTTAAAGAAATACTATTATGCCATGATTAGAAGCTCTTAAAAGGTGACTGTGTGAGCCCCCTTAAACTATCTAATTTCATGTTTAACAAATCTATACCCATCTATATACTATGGAGCTCATTCGTGGATTTCACTTGTATAGTATGGCGGTTCCATGTTGACATGGTTTTAATAATGCATACCATTCAGGAGGAGGCTTTTAACCAAAGAGCGTCATACAGCTTGCTGGAGAGAAACTGCTTTTAGATTCCCCCAAAATAAATAGAAATTAATTCTTTCAAATCAAAGATTTTTAGTTTGGTCTGTTTGTTTCTTTGCCTCTGTCCACTGTAGAATGCCCCTACTCAGTCCATTTAGTGGTCCTAGGTCTCCCTCTAGTGGCAGAGTGTAGAACCTACATATAGTTCCAAATGCCTTGTAAGAACATCCATTATAATATTCTGTTCTGTTTGATGCAGCTGATTATCTACCAGAATGGCCAAGTCTTCATCATGGCCAAACACCTCATGGATCGAGTGGGCTTTTCGGCCGTCATGCCCAGCAGAAGTGCCTCCATCTTCATCAACAACACGCAGCTGTCTGACACCGGGACGTACCAGTGCCTGGTCAACAACTTCCCTGATGGAGGAGGCCGCAACATTGGAGTTGTTGGACTCACTGTCCTGGGTAAAGTAATAGCTCAATAAATATATGTATAATCATTCCATTCCTGATATACAACATATGGTTTAATGGAAAACTAGTTCAGGAACTGCAAATTTACGGTACAGTACAGTACAGAGTAGCAGAAATATACGTTTGTATGAATGAAAAAAAACAAAACAATATAAACAAAACACAATCTTAACGTGAGTTTGTGTTGATTGTGCGAGAAGAATATTATCTAATAGTGTGGAAAAAGTCATGTTGTATTTAACATTTGTTTTGACAAGAGATGTCTCGCTTGAGATTGAATAAAAGTGCTGCTGTACTTGAAATCTAAGTCTAACATGTATTCTTATTCTAAGTAATTAAGAAGCACATAACCTACAAGTTCAATGTGACTTATTATTTAAAATTCGAGAAATTGTTTTTTTTCCTTCCCTAGGAAAATTTGTTTTGTTCAATAACCTTGGATGGAAAGGACTCACAAAGTGAAAAAGCTTTTTACTGCTTTTATCCAGATAAACCTAATTCAAATATAAAATGTCCAAAACCAAAACTTATCTTGATGTCTACTGAAATCTTCAACAAGACAAATGAAAAGTGTTTTATAATAAATTGCTTTATTTAATGATAAGTAAAAGCATGTGTGCTTCACAAAAACAGCAGTGGGTAAATGTAACCAAATTAAAAAAAAATAAAAGTGAAAAACACACATTTAGACATTTAAAATATGACCCTACTGGTTTCCCAAATAAAAATATGAAGGGAAAAAAATTAAGGCATAGCACAAGTTCAGTAAATTAATGTATTATTGTCAGCAATGGCCTTGCTCACAACAATTGACTGACGAACCAAAAAACTTTGATGCAAGTGAAGATTAAACATAGAGTGCAATTACTTTTAAAAGGAAAGCATGGGCCTACAATCCACCTCTGTCAAATGTAGACAGACCTTGTTGACATTGAAAAGCTCTTCTCTCTGTGTTTCAGTCCCCCCCTCGGCGCCGGCGTGTGGGATTCAGGGCAGCCTGGACGTGGGCAGTGACATCACATTGTTCTGCAGCTCAGACGAAGGCATCCCCACTCCCTCCTACTCCTGGGAGAGGGTGGACACACTGCCCAAACTGCCCCACAACGCCATGCAAGGTACTACACACAGGCTGGCCGTGGGAATGCCCTTTTGCCCGACTTTTGCTGGTAAATTACACTTGTGATAGTTGCACATCACCATGTCTTCTTCCTGCCCAAGCTGTTCCTGCTGACCCCTGACTCGTTGATGAGTTGAATGAATGGTTTGGTGTTTGTTTGTAATTATGTGAAAATATGAGTGGTTCAAACTTGTGCTGAACACCGAATAAGCTCAAATATTGTGAGCATGGTATGTTTTCAGCATTGGTTTGTACTACTTTTGTACACTTTCCTTGTATATCTAACTGTGAAATGGCCATCGCAAGACATCATATGTATTATTATGTCTGTTCTCCTCTGAGCAACTTTTTACAACCGGCCAGTGCCAATGTGACTACAGGCGTGATATAATGATCATTTGGCACTGTATATAGCATTACTTAATAATAAACACATTTTATATAGAGCACTTTTTAAAATCACGGTTTACAAAGTGCTTCACAGTAAAGGGGATGAAACACTTTAAGATATTGACCTCAGTATCGTAAGTGCACTAAAACAATTTTAATGATCGCCATCTGCTGGCTGTTTGAAGAACTGCAACATTTAAAATGACGGGGTATCAACAAAAATTGATTCAAATATCTTCAAAAATCAACAAATATCTTCTTATCTTCTTAAGTGTTGGTTTTGTTGCATTTGAATTTAACTGAAAGTTTTTGAAAACTAATATTAGGCTGTATTTTGTGCATTCAATATACGACATCTGCTTCCCCTATCTATAAAGCACCATACACTTGCCTATGTGTGTGTACACATAGGCAAGTGTGTACGTATCTTATCTACATCAAGTGTACACACACATAGTCAAGTGTGTACGTCCAGTAGGCTACATATATTATTACATGAAGTGCCAAGTGGAGTACAGAAATCTTTTTTATTTATCATTAATATTTATTCAGAGTCTTAATTTACATATTAACTTTCTGATTTGCTGTGATTACTATTTCAGACCAGATGCAGGGAACCGTGACTCTGAGAAATATCAGCACCAGCACCTCAGGGCAGTACCAGTGCATCTCCAGCAACACCATCGGCAAAAGTACCTGTGTGCTCAACGTGCAGGTCGTGGCCCGTAAGTGTGGCCACCAGCTCCAGATGCTGCTCCTCTCATCATAGTTTAGTAGAACTTTAATACACATGTTCAAGGCTCTTGTGACTAACTAATAATCGGGGTCAATAGGACAAACTAACTGTTTAGGCCCAACAGGGTGGAGGCCCTATTGCTTTCCCTTTGAGAAAAAGCAGGCAATATGGACAACTGTCCGCATTACAATGTGTTCATAAAGTTGATTTTATGCAGAGTTAAATGTAGTTCATATTCTACTAGGAAGTGAAACATAAATACTGGTGATTCTTCATACATGGATATATTGGAGATGATGGCGTGGGCTGTTCGGGCTGAAATACCAACTGGATGCTGGGATCTCCAACCTGCTTTTAGCCATGCTAGGAATGTCCCCAGGTTCATTGATTAATAAAAGGAAGGTTCCGTTTATTGCTTTCCTGAACGTTATAGCCCAATTCGATCCGCCTTGTCATGCCGGCCGGAATACTGGCCTCCGGGTCATCAATGAGGAAAGAAGAATGACACATTATTATTAAATAAAACTAGGAAGAAATAATCAACAAAAAAGATAATAAACCTGTGGACTTTGAATGGACCAGAAGCAGCTGCCATATATCTCTAGAACCGCAAATGATGTGGCACTAAAGTTTTCACAGAAAGGGTCTGTTCCTGCCTGTTCCTGTCAAATCAGCAGTGGTGGGAAACGGCTCCAAAGCTGCCTCTGATTGGCACTTGTCACATCGACAGAACAAGAAAACAAAACAATAATGAGTGACATGGCCAGAGCATCTTGGGGACGTCATCCATGTGATATCGCCTAAGAAAAGAGTTGTTTTAGAGTGAAAGAAGGTCAAAGTGATAGGATATCCTGACAAGTAGATGGACTGTCAGCTTTTGAGAGTCTTATGTTCAACGAGCAGAAGGCTAAGTACTGAGTCTGTCTGTCAGAGTACTGTCAGAGAACATCGGATCAAATGAGGCCGAGAGATAGCGTTACTTTTAGCCCTGATATTTGAAAGGTTTTTTTTTTTTAAACAAAACTATGACCTACTGTATATTATTTTTTTAAGTAGTGAAATGACAAGCCTCATTATATCATCCATATTCCTTTATCGCAAATACAGAGTGAGACAAATCTTCTTTTCTTTGCCATGAAGATATTTTTCTTTGTTGTGCAGCTCAGCCTCAGAGTGTGGGTCTAATCGCAGGAACCATTGCTACTGGGATCCTGGCCATCATCATCTGTGCTCTGTTAGTGGTGGTCACATTGTTTTACTGGAGAAACAAGAACAAATATGAAGAGGATGAGATTCCCAATGAAATCAGGTAAGTTTGATATGTAAAAAAACAAACAAATATTCTAATGTCTGTTCACCAAGTTATAATCTATAGAACTCTGGTGTCACCATTGCCAATGTAGATTCTAAGAATATTTGTTCTTTCAATCATGTGAAGCACACAGAGTTCTTTTCAGTCATGTTGTGAACTATACAATCCAGGTCATCAAGGCTAAAGAACAGCCATATATACTGTAACGGCTTAACTGTAAAACCGAGATTACATGAATTTATAATAACCCATGTACTGTTGCCTTACATCTGTAGCTGCATCAAAAAGATCATTAGTTTAACATGCTGCTTGAGTGTTCTGTACGCTTTATAATGAGACCGAAATCAAAAGAAACATAAATGTGCAGAATGTGCATTATTCTAAAGTACTATTCTAGAGTACGCAGTCCTTTAATAAGACATTCATCCTAAATGTCTTACTAAAAATAATATTATTTATGATGATTTTATTGGTATTTTGGTCTCTGTAACAGTCTGTGTCTCCTGTTCAGATGCTCAGATACATTCTAATGCACATGTGTGTTGCAGAGAGGACGACCTGCCTCCAAAGAGGTCTTCTTCAGTGAAGGCGTTTCACGCTGACGCTTCATCCTCTGAAAACGACACTCTAACTTCCACCAACACCTACAACAGCCGCTACTGGCACAACCCTAAACCCAACTATGACACCAACTCATACACACGCTACAACGGAGACACAAGGCAGACTTTCTCCACCGCCACGGCTGCCACGGCAACACACGAGCCGCATGCCCATGGGACAAATTCCCACGGGACACATGCAGGACACGGGACACATGCAGGACACGGGACACATGCAGGACACGGGACACATGTTGGACACGGGACACATGCAGCACACGGGACACATGGAGCTAATGCAGGACATGGAACTCATGCTGGACATGGGGGCCACGGGACGCATCCTGGACACGGGACACACGGGGCACATGGACATGGAGCTCATCACGGGGCTCATGGAGCGACTCAGAGTGCAGCACACAGCCACAGCTCTGCAGCGGCTGCCCCTGGCTCAGCGCCTCTGTCCCGACACGCACAGCCCACTCAGAGCTCCACAGCCTTTGCGAACGGTAGCCACACGCTGCCGCCGCCTAAGACCCTGGTGGTCACCACAAACTCTGCCCCCTCCCCTCCTGCCATCCGTAGTAACGGCTCTGTGAGCCTGAAGCCTGCGGTCACGTCCACACATGGGCAGCACACGCACTCGTACGCTGTGAGCCAGGCCACACTGGAGCGCATGGGGGCAGTGCCAGTCATGGTGCCCGCGCAGAGCAGAGCAGGCTCCCTGGTCTGAGGTCCTGAGGCCCTGAGGTCCTGAGGCCCAAGACACTGACAGACTGTGGAGAAAACATATGGGCTGAAGCAGCTCGCTGCCCTTTACAACTGTGTCTTTCTGTACCTTTGTATCTTCAAGTGGATTACAGCCCACACTTCACTTCATGCCAATTCCTTGCTGGACAGGACTCTTTTGTAAACCTGAACTAGATCAATGACTGTTCCCTTACTCAAAGGTTTTTTGTGGGAGTGTTTTTCCACACGGATGATGTCACAGCGCTGGAGTGAGTTTCCCGCACAACAGTCTTATTCAGGGCTGGATCATTAACTTTTGTAGTTTAGTTCATTGTTTGTTTGTTTTTTAACAACTACAACAAGTTCTGCTGTTATCTGTGCTGCATGGTAAGATCGATGAGAGATGGGATTTCCAAAAATGCATGTGTCCACTGATTTCTAAAATGGTTTTTCTTTCTTAACATTTTTTGATTGTTTAACTATTATTACTTTTGAAACAATAGCAATGTGGAATGTCTGGAGAACAAAAGCATGAGAATGCATTACTGGTTGAAACGGCCTTAGTTGCTGTTAGTGAGGAGTTTTCCTGTAATACATTAAATTATTTAAGTTACGGTTCAACACTTTCAAAACACAACTTGATATCAAAACGGCTGTTTCACTCAAACATGTTCTTTAGTCTTACAACTCAGATACAATATCCATAAATCTAACCTCAAAAAGTGGAGGTGTGGGTTTTAACTGAGGTGATGAACAGTGTGTCTAAATGCTTTATACAGAATCACATTTATGTAATTTATATTCAACAACATTTACTTTAATACTCCTTTCTATTGTAACACTCAAGTCAAATCCAGGTGTTACTACATCTACTCTCATGGCCAAATGTTGATGTAGAAGAATATGTGTTTCTTGGGAAGTTTTTCTGTTTTGTATTACCAAATCAATAAGAGCTCATACTTAGCACTTCAACTCATATTGTGCACTTAAAAATGCACCAACTAATATATAAATATATATTTTTATATGATGCAATATTGGATTCTGCAGTGACTCTGGTACATGCAATATCCCATTTTTTGTTTCATTTTGTGTCTGGTAATTGTGCATACGAGGTGCTTCAATAACAATGTAGTAATAGTAGCATCTGCCAATCAGATCAAATCGCTAAAACAGCTCATATACTTCTAAAAAACTAGAAAGAACATTACATTTCAGCCAGTTTAAAGTCAACATATAGAGTACATGGAAAGGAACAAAGGTGCATTATAGGCACATTAGAAAAAGGTTGATGTGTTTTGCATATTTGACTTTGTAGTGTCTGGTTATCATGACGCCTGGCTCTAGAAGCAACTGTTCGGAAGATTTTCTCTGCGTGATCCAAAGTGAAGGCACCATGCTGCCCACTCCTGCAGTCACTGGGTCACTACAAAAGTAAATATTAAACAAATATTAAGTTAATTTTTTACATAAAAAGACATAAAAAGACTTAAATACTATTTAAAATACTATTTTAAATAGTATTTTCTCGTTACACACAACTTAATTTTTCAAAAGTCTTAAGAAGACACAGTGACAAATTGATTTATCTTTTTGATTTCAAGTGTATTGTCTTGCTACAGTGGCCATGTACATTTTACAAGTTTTGTTTTTCATAATCAAAGCTGTTTACAGAAAAAAAAAAATCAACTCGATATTCGTCTGTCAGTGTTGTTCCAATTCATCTGAATTTTGCAGATTCTAACCTTTAACTTTTGTTTGAAAACATGGTTTGTTATTGTCCTTATGCCGCAGTAACAGGACAAACAGCACAGTCAAACCCACTTTTGAATAAGCAGTTTTATGTTCTGCCCTGTATCTATATGTGTACATAAATCTAAAAAAAAACATGATATATAATACCAGTGGTAAACATGTACATATGTAAAATTATGTTCTTACTGTTTGGTTGGAATTACTTAGAAAAATAACACTGGAAATGTAGTGAATAAATGCTAATAAATTAATACATTTTGTTGACGTGTTTTATATCCTTAATTAATTCAAAATATTACAAACACTAAATGTATATGGACATATATGTAACTGAGCTAATAATAGTATTTTTCTCAGATGAGGACATTTAGACTTGGACATATCTTGATGTATTGATAATGTTAGATAAGAGTTCATTTGAAATTGGAATTTGTTTGCTGCAAGTTATTTCCATTTTAGATTTTATTTCTTTATTTGAGCACTATAAAATACAGTCTTGATATTTGGATTTTCCTGTGAGGATTATGAAAGGAGTTTTACTTCTGAAACCTGTACATCAGCACAGCTCCAGGTGGCTCAGCATGTTTGTAGAGAAGAGCTAAAACAGTTGATCTAATAGTTGTCAAAACAACTTCACAAACTGAGAGGTCACTGAAAGTCTTCATAGTATCAGATTTTTGTTATTTTTGTTGTTGTCAAAATTGAATAATTTCTTTCTTTGGTTTACTGCGGTTTCACTTTTGTCACTGTCACAAGTAAAACAAACAGTTTTGTGTCTCGTTATCCTGAAAGAAGAAGGCTTTTCTTTATGATTCTCATTTGATAGCTTTTCAAGATGTTTTGAAAAACCTTTCTCTGAATCTATTTGCTGTGGTTTTCCTGCAGGCTGTTGAACAACGCTGCAGAACAGACAGATGAACTGAATAACATTATGAAAGATGTGCTATATTCCCTCATGCACCTCTGGGTTCAATTCCCAGGAGACAATGCAGGAAATATCTTCAAGTAAAAAAAAGAAAAGACAGAACTAGAGCATGGATTTGGAGAGCACATACCCCGCCAACACACCCTAAGACCATCAAATCTCATGCACAAAATCAGCTCTTGTCCAGGATAGTTTTTGTGCAATGCTGCCTACAGACACACACAAACTCACATTCAATCATTATGTCATTACAGGCTTTGATGAGACCTTTGTCTAAACCATCCACTTATGTACCTGATTTTAATTCTTAGCTGCCTGAGAGTGAATTTAATACAGTTATTTCTACATTTACTTAAGTTCCTTGACAGTAGACCCAGTTTACTGCTGTACCATTACGGTTCGAGATTTCTGAAATGGCTATGGAGTTTATTTATTGTTTGATCAAAGCAAACATACATATACATATTTCACACTTCAGTCGTGTCTGTTCGACAAATTCAGATATTCACAATTCTTATCAAAAAAGTTATATTTGCATCATTTAGAACTACTTATATTAAAGTTTCTTAAAGATGTTCGTGAAATACATTTACTTATTCTTCTTTACTTACACTTACAGGACACCGCCCTCCACTGTGGCAGAATGACTATCTGCAGGTGGTGTACAGTACTCGTGTTGACCACATGAGGGCAGTGTTCATACATGGGTTCAGTGACGCCGCAGTGGGTTGATTTGATGCCTCCCCCGTCCTGCTCTTCCTCCTGTCAATCACCCTCAACCCCACACTCCCTCCCACGCACATTGTGCATTAGTTTTGTGTTTCCAAATCATAAAATGTATATTATGAAACTTTAACCTCAGAGCAAATGCACATTGATAGTTGGCCACATTTTGGTGAAGGATTTACATTAGAATCAGGAAATAGCATGAACGTTAATTCTTTGTTTCCCCCATTTGGTTATCTGCACTTCTTCACACAGACAGCAGATGACAGAAGTGTTGTTACATGTGTTTGTGCTTTAATTATATCGGTATTTTTAACTCCTATTGACTGTGTAGATGTTTATAAAGGAGTACCATAACTCTGGCAAGTGCATATTTGAACAAGATGTCACGTCCTAGTCCTACATACATAGTTCTTCTTACCGTTTTGTCACAGAAATAATCTAAAGCAGAAGTTCAGACTGGAACACATTCCCCTGTGGGCACTATCTCCCCGCCTTCACTCCAGTGCTCTTCTACTGTTACACACAGTAAAAGCAAACACCCACACACCCACACACACACACACACACACACACACCGTTGCTCTGCTACTCTGCTTGTACTGTAAGCAATCAACTGTGCTGAAATCAGTCTGCCTTTATCGAGCTTCATCCTGCCTCTTACAGCCTCAGCTCGAGCTGCAGCTCTCCTCCTCCCCATCAACCAGTCGCAACAATTTACATCGCGCAATGTCGCTATAGCAGCCGTTAACCACCATTGTGTTTTGAATGAATAGTGCCATTCATTTTTTAGTGTCATGAAATGCACTGTGTAAGTACCATGCATTAATGTAATTATAGAATGGTTGATTAAAAAGATCTGTCAGCAGTTTTTGCTGTTTTGACCTATTGAAATCTAAACAAAGTGTAGATTTCAATCTCACAATCTCTGGATTGTGTGATTGTGGTATGAATTTGAATACTGTTGGATTATATATGTTTTGCCTGTGGTAGAAATACAGTTAAACATCCCGTGTGTGAGGGCAGAATAAACTTTCCATAACGTGTGAAAACAGGTCCCCACCGTTTGTATGGCACAACTTATAATTTGGGTCTATTTTACACTTCAAACTTATAAGTCTGTGAGGAGTCATCCAAGTCCAGTGGAGAAAGTTGAAATGGAGGGTCTGGGTGATAAGTGGACTAACAAAGCAGAATTGTTACATACACCTTTCCTATATTTCTTACCTCTTATTTACTATTGATTTCTGTTGATGCTAGTACTGTAATCTCTGTCTTATCTCTATGTTGCATGTTCCAGTAAAGCCTCACACATGTTTTATATTCTCTACTTAAACATACATGCAGTCACACAACACATGGAAACTTTGTAAATTGGATCCATTGATGCCGTTATCCTTGATATGCTGCATGTCTGTGGAGCTTTTGACAAACACAACGACTAAAAAGCAAATGAAAAGCTGAACTTGAACTGAATAATACACTTGCAGAACTACAAACATTTGACCCATTCCTGCTTTTCCGATATATACGCTCTATTGAACTAACATTGTGTCAATCCTCCGATCTTGACTCTTTAATAATAAGCGCTGTTCAAA